AAACAGGGATTTTCTCGGCTGATTTTGTGTGAATTGTTCCTTCTGGAAGTAAACCTGGAGTTCTCCACTCCCATATGCAATCCAGGACCTCAAAGCAGAGTTGGGATTTTCCTGATTTGGAACACAAGAGCTGTGGGTCAATGCAAGGCAGGGAAAAGCAGGATAAAGCTGCGACTCACCCAAGAGTTTCTGCAGGTGAGTCGATGCAAGTGATACCACCAAGGAAGAGTTTGGTAAATGCTGAATTACCAGACCCTGAGCTGGTATTTAGGCAAAGCTCCCAGGAAGGAAAAGCATCAACTGAAGTGGTGGTGTTGATCAGCATGGAGGTTTTATTCTCTTTTTTAACTCCAGGTCAGCGTGATGATCTCGCTCTGGATCGCACACACCACGAATCTCCAGCTGCTGCTGAGTTTGGAAGGTTGGTGCTGCTCTCATCAGAAAACCAAGCTCGAGGATCCAGCTGCTTGCTGAAGGACGAGCAGAGAAGCTCATTCTGCCACCACAGCCACCAGCCTGAGCAGCTTCTGTCCTCTTAGCCAGAAGCATCACCTACAGATCCTGCTGTGCTCCTCAAAATGGAGATATCAGAAAACCCTTTGAGTCCTTCTGCTGGAAAGGACGTGCAAACCTCAGGCATCTGAGCTTGAGAGCCAGCTCAGCACAGCACATTTACACAGCCCAAAGAGCAGGGGAAGTCAGGACAGCGTTCCCTGCCCTGATTATTAAACACCATGTCGGGGGACCCTTGTGCAGCCAAACGGGTCTGCAGCCCCGGATTAGCCCTTTTCCACAGATGATTCCTTTTTAAACAAGCAGCTAAATGGAATGAGCCCTCTCAGCCAGCCACCAGGCCAGCAGCAAAGGATGTTACACCACTGGAAGTGGCTGCAGGGATCAAAGGCAGCGACTTATTCTGGAACAAAGCTGAAGGAAGGGATTAGTCACTGCTGGCAGCCACAGGGGCTGGCACTGAACCCAGCCTAAGTGCTCAGAGATGCCTCCAGCACTCCCAGCTCATCTCAGCCCCGAGCAGGAGGAGAAACCAAACTGCTGCAGGGCTTTTCCAGCCACTGAGGGCCCTCACAAAGCCAGCAGAGGGAGAGGAGCTGGAAGTTCAGGCTGCCACTTCTTAGAATGTGAGCAGAGGTTGTGAAAATAATGCTTTGGGCTGAGTAAGGTTCAGCCCCAAATCACAGAATGCCAGAGTGGTTTGGGTGGGAAAGGATCTTAAATCTCACCCAGTCCCACCCCCTGCCATGGGCAAGGACATCCCAAGCTGCTCCAAACCCCAGCCAGCCTGGCCTTGGACACTTTCAGGGATCCTGGGGCAGCCACAGCTTCTCTGGGCAACAAAAAGAAGTTCAGCAGTGGCTGTGATGTGGCTGCTGGAGCTGGAACACTCCTTCTGTCCTGGGGTGTTCTCCTAAGGCAGTGCTAGAGATACAAACACTTGGGGAAAAGTCAGTTTTTGAGCTTGCACAAACAGGATTTCTCATTCACAGCCTTTGGGTTTTGCTGCAATACTGATTAACGTGAGATGGGAAGAGTTTTTACAGCTTTAAATGTGAGGGTGAAGTGCCTACATCTGTTCCAGGGGCAGCCCTGAGTGACTACAAACAACTTCACATTACGTTGGATTTCCACCTACTCACTTCAGGCTGGGGACAGGGACAGAATATTTGATCAGAATCCTGTGCAGCTTAGGAATCTCACTGATGTTTTAGGAAATCATGCCATCTATATTTAAGCCAAAGTCTTTTTAAAAAATCAAATATATTCTGTAGCCCTGTTTATCTCGTTATCCACAAAAAGATTCCAAGTTCCAATGCAGCTTTGAGCTCAGCTCTTGATTAATTCCCAGCCCACCAGGGAAAAGAAATCTGCTTGGGAGGACAACCCCCAAATCACAGCCAAGCAGCGCAGTTTGCAAACGATGTTTGCAATAAATCATCAATAAATAAGGTCAACTCATGGAGTAAGGAGAAGTCCAAATCTCCCTTGGGGGATTCTGCTAGCACAGAGCCACACATCCCTTGCACCAGCAAGAGATCTTGCACCAGCAGGCCCTGGTGGCATTTAGGACTCTGTTTGGCTTCCAAAGGCTCTTTAGCCTGCTACACACATTGCTTTGTCTCATTAGCATGTAATTTACATAAAATGATAAAATGTTTTGGGTTGAAGGGACCTGAAAGATCATCCCATGCCAATCTCTGCCACAGGCAGGGACACCTTCCACCACCCCAGGTTGATCCAAGCCCTGTCCAGCCTGGCCTTGGGTACTGCCAGGGATATTTACACAGCAGATGGGTTTTTATCCCGCACAGTTCCTTGCAAATCAAGCTGAAAATGAAAATCCCAGAGTGGTTTGGGAGGGAAGAGACCTTAAAGCTCATCCCACCCCACCCCCTACCATGGGCAGGGACACCTCCCACTATCCCAGGTTGATCCAAGCCCCATCCAGCCTGGCCTTGGACACTGCCAGGGATCCAGGGACAGCCACAGCTTCTCTGGGCACCCTGTGCCAGGGCCTGCCCACCCTCACAGGGAACAATTCCTTCCCAATATCCCATCCATCCCTGCCCTCTGGCAGTGGGAAGCCATTCCCTGTGTCCTGTCCCTCCATCCCTTGTCCCCAGTCCCTCTCCAGCTCTCCTGGAGCCCCTTTAGGCCCTGCAAGGGGCTCTGAGCTCTCCCTGGATCCTTCTCTTGTCCAGGTGAGCATCCCCAGCTCTCCCAGCCTGGCTCCAGTGGGGCACCAGCTCTCAGAGCAGCTCCATGGCCCCCTCTGGACTCACTCCCTCAAGTCCACATCTTTCTGATGCTGGATTTTCTTCAAAAACCTTCTGGCCTCAGGTGCTTTGATCCTGGATCATGCTGGCAGACACGTGTGCTGCTGCTGCTCCTCGGAGTCAGGTGGTGCCTGGACCCACATCAATCACAACCCAAATCCACCCTCATCCCCTTCTTTTCTCCCCTCAGGTTTCCCTGGAAAGCTCTGTGCTTTGGGACCTGAACACGGAGCAGTTCCTTGCATCCCAAAGTCACTGGGAATGTATTTGTTACATGGAGATAAAGCACCACTGCCAGATCTGAGAGAATTGGATATTCCCCATCAAAAGAGGGTTTTTTTTTTTCCTCGTAAGGAAATCAGAATCACAGCTCCTCACTTTCTTTTGCCACTGGCTTGTGTCTCCTGACGATCCCACACCCCACATCTCAGCCAGCAAGGCTCAAACAGAGCCTCACCTCTGCTCCCAAAGTCCTTGTCACCCTTTTCCAGAGCAGACCTTGGCATTTCTCACTGCCTGATGAAGCCCAGGGAAGTTTTCCATCATTGCCACACCAAACCATCCTGTTAGATGAATGGTACAAACTCCCAGCAGGATTAAACACCCACTGGAGATGGGCTTAGCAACAGGGGGTGGATGCCTGGAGGCTGCTCAGGGTTAACCCTCCTGTGAGAAATCCCAGATTTGGGCTCTTTTAAAAACTGGGATTTAGAAAAACGGGAAGAAAGCAACGCTGTTATCAGACCAACATCCCTTCAGGAAGAACCTGGCAGAAGCTCTCTGCCACTCCACAGTGTCACCATCCCAAAGCAGGCACAGGACAATTCCCTCCTCTGGAACCACACGGTTCCCAACGTTCCCCACATCCCCCCCAGCTCGAAGGTGACACAAAGCACCTCGTGTGTGTCAAGTCCCCAAAAAACCAGCAGGGCTCCAGCACAACAGATGTTCAGATGAGGGCCAGGTACAAAAAGCCATTATCTTCCATCAACAGAAATGTATTTTTCTTTCACAAATAACACCCATTAGCAGCTCCAAGGAGAACAATCTCCGCTCCAAAGGAGGATGCAGTTTTTCGGCAGACACAATGCAAAGATTTTGTAGAATTCACAGGTTCAAAAGGACTAATGTGAAAGATTATTTCGCAATTATCCAAGCAATTTTCTCTCCTCATTGTTCCCGGACCATAAGGGTTTTTAAATGTGAGCAGAAGGATTTATTCATCACAATAATAATAAAACGAAATATTAAATCAATGAATCTCTTTGCATGCAGCATAAAGCTCGCGTTGCTATTAAGCTCAGTAGCGTCCTGTCACATAAACCACACGCAGTTTGTGTATTTAAGTACCATCTCCCTCTTTTATTTTTCCCTTCCCTAATTTGTAAGGCATTATCCTTCCATTTGTCCTCTAAACACAACCAGATTCGGAGCACTCAGTGCTCGTTCTTGTTAATGGCTCTGCGTCCTTGCTCTCTTTATGAGGGGAGATTTATATTTGATTTTGATTGCTAACAATGAAGAAAGTTATGCTGGGATGACAAGGAAGTCCTAAAATAAATAAAAATTTGGGGAGAATAAACTCCTTACAAGTCAATGTCCAAGTGAGTACATTTGCATGGGTTTGAAAATGAATGTTGGCATTTGAAGGTGTCACTTCTTCAGTTTGGCTGGGGGGGAAAAAAATAATCAACCCAAATATATGCAAAAAGTCAGCTCCAGCCTTGGGAGCATGGAAGCTCTCACGGTCACGTCAGCCTTGGCTCGTAATTCCTTCTCTGCCATCCCTTGTAACACAAAGTGAGAGATGAGTTTTGAGGTCTTGGCAGCCAACACTAATTCAGTGGGTCCCTCTTTTGTTTTAATAAAAAATTCATCTGGCAAAGTGCAGAAACAGTTACTACTTAGGTATTTATAAGGTGTCAACTGTCCTCACAGGGAGGCACTTAAAGAGCCTAAGCAAAGATTTCCAGCGAGCAACAATCTTTAGCTTTAAGCATCAAAATTCACATTAGGCTCCTCAAACGCAATTTGCATTCTCTAAGTGCTAAATACCTGGCTCCTCTTGTTTTTCTTCGCTGATGGAAGTATCCAAAAAAGCTACAGACACCTTCAACCATCCCCCAGGACTGAAGCTGAGCTGACACAGCCGACTGCACCATGCAAACCCCACCACGAGCAAGCCCGTTGTAGCTACATCTGTCTTACCATGATTGGGACACCAATGTCTGGCCACAAGAGATCCTCGGAGGGAAGCTTGGGAGAGTTCCACACCACCACAACTTTATTTAAGTAGGGGAGACCATTGAGCCTTTCTAGGGAGTTCATCAACACTTCCTCCCGCTCGTAAGTCAACATCACCACCGTGAACTGCTCCCGCGGGACGTTGCCACCCAAAGCAGCCTGGAACTCCTTCCCAGAGCCACCCGCTCCTCCACCAATTGGTCGAAATCCAGTCCCAGACCCCAAAAATTTTGCTTCTGATGGTAAAACGGGGTCAAAGGGAGTGTAGGGGAAGAGGTGGAAAGGCCCCGGGGCAGAATTCCAATTCCTGTAGATATCCATTGCGGTGAGGGTGAAATTGCGGAGATATTTGGGAGAGGCGTAGGGTGGTTCCGTTTCCACAGGCCCCAAGTCCAGGTCACCATTGTCTGCCATGTTGGGGTCTGTACCAGCAGCTTTGCCAGAGCGGTGGGGGATCTCCACGGCGGGTTCCTCTCGGATAGGAGCAGCGGGGATTTGGATTCGAGTCCTTATGATAGCTAAGACTGTGCTGAAGACGTTGTCGGAGGTGGAGAAGTAGGTCTCCCACAAGAAGCGGCCCTGCCTCCTCATGGCAAGGAGATCGTTGTCAGAAATGCTTCTCAGAAGAAAGTGCACTTCTGTGATACGTGGCTTTGGTATAATTAAGGCTGCCTCGTTCCACCGGATCACGTCGTTGTAGGGTAGCTGAACCTGCTCTCCGAGAACCACCGGGATGGCCCCGACCTCCAGAGCCTCAAACAGTCTCATGGTACACCCGGCGGAGATCACTAAACGGGTGTCCCCGGGGGTGATGATCAGTGCAAAAGTAGAAAGCTTCAGTAGCTCTAGTCTGTCGTCCCTTTCTCCACACAGAGCCCACTCAGTGGGCAGACTCGCCTTAGGCTGGTTCTTACACGTGAACTCCACCAGAACAAAGTCCAGCTTGCTGTCCTGAACAGCCTTCAAGGTGGTGATGATCCGGTCGTCGTAGTCGGCCGGGGCGTTGCCTTCGATCTCCTCTTCGAAAGAGCGAACCTCCTGCAAGCTGGAGCGGAGAGACTCGATCTTCTCCCCCTGGAAACTGAACAGGTACTTACGCTTGACCGGCACCTGGGGCGGGATTTCTAGGAAGTTGGGCTCGGACATGGCGTGGACCAGAGGTGACACCACGATGTCAAACCCCGGTCGATACTGGGCGTCGTAAAAGGTGGACTGGGCGATCATGGCGCGCCCCGTGCTGATGTTGTAAATGAAGTTCTGAGTTTCCGACTTCCTCGATAGATTGATGATGAGATGGTTGTGTCCATCAGTCCTCCAGTACGGCAAAGAGTGCAACTGTTGCTCTAGTTCAGTAGGTTTTGGCATTACGGGCTCTTGCATTTCCCCCACTAAAATTATATACACACAAGCAATATCTGCATTTTCAGTAACATAAACGTTAGTTCTGACGGTCGCCTCAAAGGCCTGTTTAATTAAAGGGTCTAAGGAAGTACCAAAAGGGTAATCGTCACTGTTGTAGACATAGACTGGAAAGCCAGACGTCAGCGGGCAGCGTGAGTAGTCAAAGCAGTTGTGCAGCCTGCAGTTCCTGTTGGATTTTGGCAGGGGGAAGGTCGCATCGTCCTTGTCTGGCAGCAGCCGGATGGGCAACGAGAGCTTGGGCTGGTTCTGAGCCATCAGCTCTTTGTAGGAATGCTCAGTCTGACTGATGACGTTCTTCAGCTGCAGCAGGTCCTGCTTGGCATTTTCAATGCTCTTCTTGCAGGCCTCGATCTTCAAGTTGAGCTTGGCGATCTCGCTGTTGAGCTCCTGCCGCTTGGCCTCGAGCTGGAGCAGCTCCTCGCTGACCGACTCGCGGATGCGGCACAGGTCCTGCACGTGCTTCACCTCGCACAGCTCGTTGCCGGTGCGGGGGCCAAAGATGCGCTTGCCGGCATCGTCCGCGTCGTCGATGGTGGTCAGGTAGTAGTGGGCAATGAGGGGGAAGAAAACGAGGATGACGAAGAGGGTGAAGCTGAGCCAGGTGAGCCGGATCCGACTGGACCACCTCAACACCCACGGCTGGCCTCCGTTCCCCACTCCCCCATTGCGCAACATCGTATAGCCAGTCATGAGTTCCAAAGCCGCCGCGCGCACAATCTCACGTTGGATCAGTAGCCATAACCAAAGGAGTTTTTATAGCGAGTCTCTCCAAGGGAAATGTTATTGTGCCTGCTTAACGAGCAGCCAATGGAAGGGGAATTTCATCTTCTTGCCGTGCCGGCGGCTCTTCCACGGTCGTTTTGCTGCAGGCGCAACTTCTGATCCCGTTAGACTCGGTCATTGACCTTCTCGCCCACCCCCAGCCCACCCCTGGTCCGCAGGCAACCTTTGCTGGAAGTGTCACAGCGTTGTCATGGTGATTCAGAGTCGCAACCGGCAGAAGGAGAACGCAGTGGGACCGAGCCAAACTCTACCGCTGCTGCCGACATCCTGCATTACCATCCATGAATATGCAGAGGCGGCAGCCGTGGTGCAGAAGGAGCCAGAAGGGACTCGTAGCACTGTCAGTCTCTCTCATCGCTGCTGGGAGGGTGAAGCTCTGCCATTCCTACAAGAGAACAATCACACAGTCAGGCAACACAACCAAAACAACCCAAGAGTGACCCAAGACACGGACAGATTTAAAAGCAATTGTCCTCTCTCAAAAGAATGAGCTCTGGGGTGTCACCTGAGGAGGTGATGGGATCCATGAGATGTGGACACACAGCTTTCTCCAGGCGCTCTAGGGCTGTGTAGGGAAGCTCCAGACCACACAGCCTATTCAGCCCTGGGTGTGGATCTCTGTTTTTCCCACCTGCAAGGCCCCCTCTCTCTCCTCTCATCCCAACCAGAGGTGTTGACGTACACCTGCTCTCCCTGCTGCGATCCCGGGATGCAGCAGTGCTGGGAATTTGGACTGCATAACTGAGTGTAAGCACCATTGTTCTGCTCTGGTGACTAGAGCTGATGAGGAATTTTTAGATGAAGTGTTTTGCTTTCATTTCCTGCTGGAAAATTTTGATTCACTGCATGAGAAAGTTTAAAGGGAACGTGCTTGTGTTGGTTACGATTAACTGGATGGCTGCGTATGAGGGAATTTCTGGTCAACACTGGAAAATTCTACCCTGTACATCAGAGTGAAGACGCTGAATTAGGATCTATTGGGAACATCTTGTGACAAATTCTTCCCTGTGAGGGTGGGCAGGCCCTGGCACAGGGTGCCCAGGGAAGCTGTGGCTGCTCCTGGATCCCTGGAAGTGTCCAAGGCCAGGCTGGACAGGGCTTGGAGCAGCCTGGGATAGAGGAAGGTGTCCCTGCCCACAGCACAGAGTGGAACTGGGTGAGTTTTAAGGTCCTTTCCCACCCAAACCATTCTGTGATTCTATGAAATTCAGCTCTGACTCAGCTCTAGGCCAACAGATTTAAATCTAGGCCACATCAATATGCTGTCACTAGAAAATCTCCCCTTTTATTGGCATCCTCCAAGGTACTGAAGTTTCTGGGATATTCTTTCATACACTGGACTTGCCACACCACTGATGAATAGAGCTGGGCTTAGCAGCAGCTCCTGCACGGCCTCAAGAGAAGCTCATTCATTTCCGTTTCAATTTTTAATTAGAAGAAAGTCATCCACGCTGGTGACGGTCATTTTTCACTAAATCTATTTAATACCCCTCTCATCTCCTCATCAAGAATTCCCAAAAAGAAAGTGAGGAAGCAAATCTCAGCTGAAAGATAGATCTGGAAATGGGCCAAAGCAAAAAAGTTCACCTTAATGCAGCAGAGAGAAGTCAGGAGGAATTTTCAGTGTTGTACTCAAGAGAATGTCAGAGAAAATAGAGAGGAAATTTGATTTTAACCATGAAAAATCATCATGAGGAAGGGAAATATGTGGGCTAATAAAGCAAAATCCTCAGGCCTATTGTAACACAGCCATTTGTTGCCACTGAGATAACACCCCATGATTAAATGGCATTTCCATCCCCCCCACCAATGTGACCCACAACCCCGTTGCAAAGCAGCACAAACACTTAAAACTAAGGCAGATTTCAAATTCGCAACATTGGCAAACAGCAGTGGTGTAAATCTCGGAAAGCCAGGAGGATAAAGGGGCTAAAAAGTCAGCAAAAGGCTAAATCAGCTTTCTTGGATCTTGGCAGCACATGGCTGTGGGCAGATGGGAGGCTCCAGCCTCTGGGACCGCTCTGCCCAGCAGCAGGATTTTAGCAACTGAAGGTAAAAATAATAATAATATTAATTTTTAAAAAGCTTTTATTTTTATTTTATTTTATATTTATTTATTTATACTTTTTTTTATTATTTTATTTTTTTTTTCTTTCTCTCTCCCACCTTTTCAGGCCCTGTGCAGGAAGTGAAGCTTGCACTGTGTGTGTGCCAGTCCCTGCTATTTCAGCCTGGTCTCAAAAGGGCTGCAAAGATCCTCCAGTTGCCACCAGTTTCCTGCAAACAGCTGGCCAGGAGATGAGCTGCCCTAATAATGCTTTTCTTGAGGGAAATGTCAAAGCACACATTCACTTGAACACCACAGAAACTAAAAATCAGTTTAAAAAAGCTTTGCTGGCTTTTTTTTGTTTGGGGATGCAATGGGGTAAGTGGGGTCAAAAGCTGTAGGGTTGTTGAGGCAGCACAGAAATGAGGGATCATGAATGTGGGCACATGGACACATTGGGCTGGTCAGAAAAAACTGCAGCCCCAAAGGTAAGATTCCATCAAAATCTCACTCCTTTGTGGTTATATTGCCCATTTATAAGCCATAAATGGTAATAAAATGACAAACTGGACTCCCTAAAATGGCAACTGAAAAGCCAAATCCATCACGCCATGCCTGACCCTCAGCAGCTGTTCTGTCACCTAATGCCCCCAGGGGCTCCTCTGCTCCTTCCCTTCCTTGACACAGAACAAAATTCATCCTCCTTGCCTCAAAATCTGGGCTGTGAATTCAAAATATCCGTATGCTCCCCAGTCTGAGGTTGCCGGTGTGACTCTGTTGCTCTCCTGGAAAACACCACAAGGGAAAGACCAGGCTGAGGAGGGATTTAAAATGCACCACACGTGGCTTGGGATTAGTTAAAAATATGAACTGTCAGGATGAAATATGTGCTGGTGATAAAATGAGCACTTTAGACACACTCCTGGACTCTTCTTCACTATTAAGATTTTATTCCTCATCAACTCAATAGAGCCTGAGGTTGTGACACATTGCCATTAGGACTTATAAAAAAAAAACCAAAGTAAAAACCCAATCTGTGATTTCATCAAGAGAGACTTCAGGGCTGTGTTTATCAACCCTGGGGAGAAAGCCAAAGCTGATTCCCATCGTTCCCAAAAAGAAATTTGGGAGGAGGAGAAGCAGGATAGCTGCTGGGCTTTCCAGCCAACTTATCCCTCTCGCTCCAAGTACTATTTAAGTCCTTTAAACTCACCAAGTTCCACACTGAAAACTCTTGCTGATGTTATAGCACAATTTTGCTGCCTGATGGAGCTAATTACACACAGAAAGAGGCAGGAAGAGCTCTCAGGAGATCAGATCAATAAATCCCAGAGCCTCTTCCCAAATGCCCACCTGACAGAATTCTCAGGCACGACAGGTTTGCAGCTCCTTCTCCCACAGGTCTCAGCTGCTCAGAGCACATTGTCAAAGCTTGGGCTGCATTCCCAGCTTTCCTCAGCTCCTGTGCCAGTGAAGTTATGGGAATACCTCAGGTTCTCCCTCATTTAGCATTTTTAGAAATTACCTGGCTGGTCTGATCCATGACTGTGTTTATGGAGCCATTGCTCTGCAAATGTTCAAAGACTCGAGCATACCTACTCCTCCCTGCTGACACTTCTGTTATCCATCTCCCTGTAAAATCAGAGAAACACTGCTTCTTTCTCAGCATAAAATTAAATTTAAAAAAAAATACAGTGAATTCTCCCCTTCAGAACAGGCTGTAGTGGAAGAAAATGAACCCCGAACAACCCTTCATCAATGATAACTTTCTATTTCCTAATGCTCTCAAAGGGAAGGATTACATCCCAAATCTCCCAATCACATTGGGAACAGGAGCAGCTGAGCAAGGAGAATAAATCTATCAGGTGTGTGCTTTAAGGTACAGTTGGCTGGGAGCAGATCCTTCAAAGGAGCAGGTGGAAAATTCACTCTGAAATGCTTTGCATGCAGCGGCCTTGGGGATCATCCCGAGGGATTTGTACCATCTCCAGAGCTCACAGGAATTCTCCCAGGCTGAGATCTGCGCAGCTGAAAGGTCCTGTAATCTGGAAATTCCAGGGATAAACTGCATCCCTGGCTTTAGGCAGTTTTATCCAAACCAAAGGAACATTCTGCACGTTTGCAGCTCCGTGCAAAGCCAAACCTGCTCCCAGCCCTGCTCCTCATCCACATGGACGTGTGTGGGGTAAAGCAATCCTGGAAAAATACTCCAGGAGCCCTTCCATGTGCTCACTCTGGAAAAGCAGGAAACCACACGTGCTGAGGAAGGCAGTGGCTTCAGAGGTGGCATTTGAGGAACTTTGAGTTTTCCACCCCAAGTTCTTGGGGAAGAAGGGCGCTCACTCCTGTCACCACGGCACACAAACGATGTTCTCTGCTGGAGTCTGAGTGTTGCTCAGCTCTGAGATCCAGAAGAACACTGAATTTCATATAACATGGAATTTATGAGCATGTTTTCATAGCAATACATAGAAAACAACTGCTGAAGTTAGATAGAAAAGCTAAAAGTGTGTGTAGATTTGAAAGTTTTCTTAAGCCACTGGGTGAAAAAGTTAAAGTTTAGAGTTTAAAATAGTATAGAAAGCAGAAGACAAGATGGAGGATTTAGGGTGTTGTTTCTTTTCCTTCTTCTTTCTTCTTCATGTTCTTCTTCTCGAGGTTTTTGGGTAATAGTGAGTGATTGGATAGAAAATGTCACAGTGCAGCACACAGGTGATGGGTCATTGGGTCATTAAGAAAAATAATTTATGTGTCTATTGTTAATTGGTTAAGAATGAGTATAAAGATAAAAAAACTGCGCAGTTCAGGGCCATTTTGAGCTTTCAAAGCCAAAGTGAGCCACAAGGCCATTCTGTACCATCAGAAAGAAATGATCCAGGTTGCAGTGAACTGAACTTGTGCAGAAAGCCTGGAGAAACCTGCCAAGTTCTGTGATAACATTCTAATAAACAGAAGAAACAAGATCCTAATAGGATTTAGAGTTTCTGTCCTGAGAACTGTAATAAGTGGGACTCCCTGTGAAGGAAGATCCCCAAGGAGCTCAGCTCAGAGGAGACTGAGAAATCCAGGAGAGAAAAAAAAAAAGTGCAGAAGAAGCACAGCAGCAGAATCAAGAAAGAGAGGAATAAGAAACAAAACAAATGAAAAAGTTATAGTTCTTCTCTGTCCTCCCAGCTGCAGGAAATGAACGAGGGAAAAACCAGGAAGAGCCAACAAGATCAACACCTGGCTATGAGCAGGTAGAATTTTGGGGCTTTGGATCATGGCTTGGTTTACACCACACCAGGTCTGGTGGCAACAGAGAGGGTTCAGCTGCTTGAAAGGGAGAAAAACTTCAT